GCCCCCATAACTTTCAGATTTAGCAGGCAAAAGGGGCCATTACTTTCGGGTAGCTGTTACGTTCAGGTAGCCGTTACTTCAGATTGTTATAATCATTTGTACAGTAACAGTCCTTTCAGGCAAAGTGGACGCAGAACACATGAAATTAAAAGTTCCATTTATGTATGTTTTACTAACTACCCACCTACACAAAGCAAACTGTATACACAAAAAAATACCCTAAACTGTAGGCCAAAAGTATAATAGTCGCATTATATCACAATTGACAACACAGCTGATTACACCATGGTATATCATTTGACTCTGCTGCTATCTAGACCATTACAGCTTATAAATCATAGTTTCAAGAAAAATTCACTTAATTTCGAAATAAAATCAGAAATAACTCTTCAAGTTGTTCAGTTCTGCAGTCAGGCTGTTCCATCCTCATTGCACTTGAAAACAGAGAGTTTCTCTTTTAGTGACTTCTTCAAAGGGCCGCTTCTTTCAGATGGGCCATTACTTTCAAGGGGACCGTTATTTTCGGGGTTCAATAGGAAGTTAAAAAATTAACATTACTTTCGGGGCGCTGTTATTTTCAAGGGGGCATTAATTTTGGAATTCCACGGTACTGAAATTTGGCCATTAGCAGGCTAATAATTATACATAACCCCATCCAGCCAATTTGCATTGTCTCATTAACACTATCAATTTGACGATAATGATACATCCGTATCTATGTAAAATACTCCAAGATGGAGAGAGACTTCTGATCAAAACCATATGACCCAAGAACCTGGGTAGGAAATCTCAACCATCGAGATACATGCCCTCCATTTATTTTCAAATAATTTTGGTCAGGAATCTAATTATATCTCTCTCCGTATCTCCAGGCAGACCAAAATTTGCAATTCCATTTTGACAGCACAATCATTTTCCCATTGACAGATCTTGGCAGGTGTAGGAAATTGAGAAAAGGAATGTGAAGTTTGGCCCTAATAGCCCATTCCTAGGGTGGCCAATTTTACACAAGCTTGTCCGAGTTGTTGATCTGTTCAAAATATTACTAGTAGTGCATGCCCCCTTAATAGTCCACCATGCCTCATGTGCCTTTCCAAGGCATAGGAATCATAACAATTTATTAAATCAACAAGCAAATGTTATCAAAAAATGAAACTTTATAATGTTATGTCTGTATATTGTCTGGATTCAACAGTTTCCCAGAGGGTAATTAAAGTAATTGTCTTTTCATTCAAATTTAATATAAACTGCAGATTTTATAAAATTCATGGCATGGACCCACTTAACTTGAAGAAAATTTAAATAATTATTGATTGGTGTAACCAGACTCTGGGCAAACACCAGTGCTCATTATTGTTATAAACTCGCATAAAAACGGGTTTCAGACATCACTGAGGTCAATAACAAGGTCCATACGTAACTGATATATCATGGGGTATAAGGAAATATACATTTGACATTAATTCAAGAGGAACAAAACTTGTTATTTCACTGGCTCGGTTTGTTTTGGCAATAATATTCTTATTTTCTCCATCACTAAGTCTGACCCAACATAAACAAAGGATGTCAACTATAATCTGGGCACTTCAACGTAAAAGAATTCCTGCGCATTTGCGCCACGAATAGAAAATTACTTACACTAAGATTGTGTTTCATAATTACTAAATTGTCCCAAACGCGAATCTGTTGGGAATTATGCAATTTGTAAATTAACCTTGCGTGTCTGCATGCATTGTTTAGCCAGAAAAGGGATCCTAACCTAATTGTTGGTTCAATCCTGTAGTTTTGTTTGCGGAACTCTCTGAACGAAGCAAAGAAAATGTCACGTACATGGACGAGAAAGCTGTCTCACACCCGCTCACATTTCTTGTACAAAATCGATAAAAGTTTACAAGAATCGATCGAAGAACATTTGAAGTAGAAATAATTTTATATACCTTGGTGATTGAGTTAGGTACGAAAGCGTATCTCCCAGTCGATCTACGCTCAAATCTTCGGTTTTTCCGGCTGGAATAGTCAAAATGCTTCGACCTTTTCGGTCATGGCCCCCTGGTTTACCAACACACACAAAATTAGTTTAATGAATCGATTTTAAATATAAACAACTCCGTTTATTGCAAACAAAACTACAACAACTTCAACTGCCTTAAGAGACTAGAACACGGCAAGTATCATTCTAACCTCAAGAGACTGAGCGAAGTTGAAGTTTTCAGACAAAACTAGCGAAATAATTCACATGTGTGGTGGAATGTCTGGTGTTTTCAGCGAGTTATAAATCATAGTTCAGAGCTCTCGAGAATTTGCATCTAATCAAACGAAACATTCCTACACTTAAAACCACTATCTTGATAAATAAATCGAGCATTCTTTTAAGTTACCTGAAGTGAAAGCAAGCTTGGCTCGTAACGTGGGTTCTATTTCAGAAGTTCGAATTACTCGTCCGGCTGCGAAGAAAACGAAAGAAGCCATTGAACAACTAAATTACAGAAATGGTCCCTCAACTTTCACATTATTAACTCTTAAATTAATCCCTGAATATACTCACGCCTGTATGAGCCACGTAAGTCTGGAGAAGAAGCGTACTCTGGGCGATAACTTCTTGTAGCGAACGACAAATCCTCGAAGCCTGATTGTCGAGCGAGCTCTTCTCTCGCTTTCTGCGAGGCCATTTTGGCCCTTGTTTATACTCCAAACGCAGCGAGAATTGAAAGGTAAAGATCAAATTGCCCCGGGGGTGAGCAAATGTCAGTACTTTATCCTCAAGGACTTTTCATCATTGGCTGGATTTAGATTAAGTCTGTAAAATGTGTTTGAATCCAATACAGCGTGACTAGCTAGCCAGTTTAAGTTCAGGCGTTGCACTACCCGCACAAATTATAACGCGGGTTGGTTTCGCTCGAAATTTTCTCCAAGCTTGGGCGGGCAACTACAAAGGAGTTTTGGAAATCCACATTCACGAGTCAGCTGTCATATACTCTTTGTCTTCTTTCTCCTTGAAACCGCGTCATGAAGAGCGAGTGCTATAATTAACTTTGGCAGTGATAATAGCTCAAAATTATTTGAGCGCGGAGCCGCTCACAATCTGCATAAATAACAAGGAATTTTACAAATGCCTCACGCTACCCCGTGTGAAGTCCACATTTAGGCCAAAAAAAAGACCATATAATTGTCTAAATTAAGCTGTCCAAAAGAGAAGAGTGCTGATCGGGGAGCAAAATGTCGTCTTTAGAAAATTAAAAATACTAGTATATTGTCTGAAAGGGATTTAGAAGTCATTACGGCGGATTACAAGAAACTCCACCGAGTGGGGGCTAGTAAGATATTTAGCTTCGGCAAAAAAATGACAAATATTTGGCACGACTTAACACATTAGGATTACTTCCGAATGCTCATTGGCTAATTGACGTCTAACGGTACACAGAAAATATTTACCAGGAATTAAGATATTACCCCGGGTAACGCAGGGTCTCTGAGTTTCAAATACGTGTGTTTTCCTGCATGTTTTTCTTAGGTGGGAAAGAAAAACCCAATTTGTTGAATTATTCGGCCTTTCTGCTCTTCATTCCTATGTGTTTTGCTTTTGCTTTTGCGAAGTTCAACAATGAAAGGCTTAGCACCTGTAATTTTTCACACATTTCGGGTGCGTCTTTCAGATCACCGTGCGTTACTCTTGTGAACTACAGAAAACTCTAGTCCTCTAGATTTACACAGAAGCCCGCCCACGCTGAAATTCCTTCAATACCTCACGCAATTTTTCCTTGCGTGACAAGCTTGTCGTGACTGAAAACGGACAATGAGGAAAGACTTTTCATCAAAGCTCTAAATTATAAACATGACTTGCAAAGGTTCCTTTCAGCTAGGGGTGTCATCGCCCATAATGTTGGGGATTCTAAAAGGGAGCTTATTATCAGGAAGGGGCCTTTAAAAAGGGCTTTTACAGTACCCCTTTGTAGTGCATAGTCTGGTCAAGCCCGGGTTAAAACTCAAGAACATTTAACCATACTAGGATACATGGACAAGAACTATACTTGCCTTTTTAATTATTATTTATTGAAGAAGTGAAGAAATTCTTTACATGATTTACCTCAGTTAAAGAATAACTATGTATTACACCTAACCATAGCTAGAGATTCCCGATTTATTAACGTGAAACTATTGAACGTTTCGAAATATTATGTTTATCGTGTTATTTTCCTCTGTTTGTCAATTTCTTGCCAAATCATTGCAATGCTGATACATAACTAACTGACAATAAGCTTGGATAAATTATATGTAACAAAGAATTTGAAAGTATTGGATTTGCAATCCAGAAAACAATGTATATAACTTCAGTGAATGACTACTTTTTGTGCAATTACTTTCTCTCTATATCTGCTGATATTCCTTATATTTAGTACATGCCACCTCGAGGGTATCTGGCCCTATACCCACTTAGGGTTATGGTCAAAATCACCTCGAGGGTATTTAATATTCAACTCTCTTAATGACTTGGACCGTCTTAGTGTCTGTGCAAGAATGTCCCTGACTACCACAATTTTGAGTTTGTCAAATAGCGACCGACCTTAGCTTATTACTGACCGGCGTGTTCGATTCTTGATACAAGATACAACTCAGATCTATGAATACAGTTAACCCTTAGCTTAAAGCTTAGATTAGCGGAAAAAGTACCTTATTGCCCAAACAGTTTACGAATATTTATTTTGTTGCATATCTACTTTATCCGAATTAGGTTGATAATGCGCAATTCCAATCATTTGTCCCATACAAGACCATACAATGGAAAAATAGAAAGAGAAAATATCATCATGTGGAATTCCCAAGTCTTAAACCAGCGACTGCATAAAACCCTGTATAGTATCTAAGTAAATCCAGACACTGAAAATAAACTGATAAATTTATCTTTTTACCTGAAGATCGATATCTATGAACGTAAAGATTATTGAAATAAATATTGGACAGATAGGGTTGCTCTTTTTAATTTAAGCGATTTTACACACATTTTACCTCTCCAGCTAAATACACAGAAAATTTTTGGTTAGTTACAGATTGTCTTTTTAATCGCTGTCACAAAATAAAACCAAAAGTAATGACCTTGCATGGCGCATTGAACCAGTCAGAATAATCCAAGAAAAAATAATATGTCAGTGGTGCCAAGGGTAAGAAAACAAGTGTAACGCCAGATCATAACTTTTGCTTTTGTTCCTGTTAAACAAAATCTCCGGGGAAAAGAAAGCAATCCTGCTTTGATTGGTCAGATACCTTTTTTTATTATTTATAACTAATTAGACAGCTCAAATAAAGAAACATCTCTTTAATTATTTGCCTAACACGAAAGCCTAACATCCGATGACCACAGGGAAATTCACGAAGCTTGTTCGCCATATCAACATTTATGACATGTCAGTTTTCTCCCGCGCACAGCCCAAACCCCGCCCCAAACCCCGGATGAGGAACACTAGCTTCGTACATGAGGTTTGAGCTGTTTTTGGCTGGTCGACGTTGCAGTCTTTCTTATTTGAGAAAACAGGACTGGTATATGACTCAACAATCATTAAACTGTGCTTGATCTGGATCTTTGGCGAGATTTATTTTTGAGTTTAACACGTTTATGCCCTACACCCAAGACACGGACATGCTGCGCGCGTTTCTTTGATCGAGACTTCTTTGGCGCCTTTTTTTCACCGCGAGAAATTACTGCTCGCATCTGCCCCGGTTGCATAACGGGAGTCATGGGAGAAACTTCAGGCCCTCCTGCTTGCATTTGCATGGGCATCATACTGCTGACCTGCGGGAACGGCGTCTGCGGCATCATACTGTTCACTTGTGTAGTCACACTGGGCTGATAATTGAACGCGGCAACATTGGGTCTCGCAGCCTGGACACCACCGTTCACTTGAGGCAGCTCTGCCGCCGCGGGAACCATCGTCGACTGCTCGGGCGGCATGACCATATTTGGTGACATATCCATGGCGTTCTGACTGGGTGGAGGAGAGCTTGACGCCATGGCAACCGGTTGAGGGGCCATGGACGTCATTTGGGAAGGTGCCAATGAAGACATCTCGGTGGCTGGCATGGATGAGATTTCCGGAGAAGCCATTGATGACATATCGGAATCGTGCGACAACACTTGTTGCAGTCCAAGTGAATCATGTGGTGGTTCTTTTAACAGGCTAGTATCCACTCCGTAAGAATCCTCTTGGATTTTAAAAGGTATTTTGTGAATGTGTATTTTTCCAGGTTGTTCTCCATCGTTGTCCTCTACTTTGTTTGTTTTCTCGTTCAGAGTTGCGTCGTCCTCCTTTGACGTCTTGCGTTTTTCCATTGAGTCGCCCAGCTTCCGCGCGTCGATTCCATCTTGATCATTGTACATTTTGATTTCTTCGTTTTCTTCATCTTCTTCATTTTCTAAATGAAAACAAAGTAAATCAACTATATTTTGTCCCAAGGTTGTCCAAAACGACGGCTGCCTGACAACAGACAAGCTGGTGTGTTAGTTTTTGAAAGCGCACCGTTCACGAAAACCGCAAAATGAATCCATTGTAACAATCATTTGATCTGCGAGAATTTAAGTTTCAAACGAGTCTATAAACTTCTCCCTTAGTTTGCTTTAGAAAATCGATATAACACCGTAAAGAGGTTCGTATAAATTTACCATGGTAGCTCGTATTTAACATTGTTGTCATCAATCATAGCAAGCAGCAAAATCTTCGCTTTACACGAACATTCAGAGAATGCCTCATTCGCGTAGTGTCGGAGAACGCCAGAACTTCACGTATGCAAAAGACCATTTCCGAGTTACTATGTGCCTCTGTTTCAAAACGAGTCTTCGTGCAAAACCTTTCAAAGGTAAATGAGTTTGATTTGCATGAAAATGAACCCGTAGGCGGAACACATTTTCATATGAATGGTTTCGCATGAAGACTCGTTTTAACACAGAGGCACAAGGTGACTTGGTAATGGCCTATTATTCATTCAATTTTGATAACTTACCGTAGTGTTTCTTTAAATAAGGTTCTAAGTCGGGCACATCAGTACCACTATCGCCTCGTCCAAAATGGGTGCTGTCATCCCCGATACTATCTGACAGATATTGCATATCCGAGTCAGAGTCACTATCCGAGCTTGAATTACTCGTCCCGCCTTGATTGTACTGCTGAGTGTTCTCGTCGTCCATAAAAACGGGATCCGAGCGATGCGACGAAGGTTCCGGTTCGGGCTCCGAGTCCGATTCCGATTCCGCCTCTGATTCGGAATCAGCTTCGTTGTCATCTTCGTGAATTTTCTCGACTTTCTCCGTCAACTCATCGGACTCGCTGTTGCGCCAGTTGTCTCGATGCGGTTGTTTTTCCTCTTCATCGTCGTCATATACAACCACACGAAGTTTCGGACTCTTGCGCCTGCGTATTTTGGCCCCATGACCGTGGATTCGGAGCCAACGTAACTTCCTTAGCAACCGCACTTTCATACTGTCATCGTCCTCGCTAGCTTCTACTGGAGAGTCGTCAAATTTTCTTTCCCTGTAGCCTTCAGAGTCTTCCTCTTCGTCTGGTAGTAGCACTTCCTTGATTTTTGGATGCCGTATTCGCATGTGAATAAATCGAATTAGTCTTCCTTTACCTCTGTGTTTCAGATAGCCTTCCTCGTCATCTTCGTCGTCAGCCTTTACGTGTCTTCCACCTTTGTACTTAAACTTTAATCTTAGTGATTTTGGTTTGTAGTCAAACACAACTGAGGGACGTTTCTTATTTTTCTTGTCCTTAAGACGTGGTACATGTTTAGTTTTATTTCGCGCCCTTTCTTTTCTGCCTTTGAATCGAGCTTGTTTGTTTCCCTTTTTCGTTCCCCTTGAATGGTTCACGTGCTCGAATAAGTTCTTGTTGACTTTCATTTCTTTTACAGCTTTGACTCGCTGTACATGATCGACAACTTGATTGAAAACTGGATGGACAGGCTTCACATCGGTAATCTTTACATTGCTGTTGTCTTCGAGATTTCCACCTGAAAGGCTGTTTGGCTCGGAATCGCTAGTAATTTTCGAAAAGTTTTTTGTTTGCTTCAAAAAATCATTCACAAGTTGGGTTTTCAAATCCTCTTCAATGTTCTTCAGTTTCAAGGCTAGCATCATCCCCTTGTTATTGCTGATGTCACTATTGCTGCTGTTGTTTTTGTTATTGCTATTGTTGTTGCTTTTGTTGTTGTTGTCATTGTTGCTACTATTGCTCTTGTTGTTGTTTTTGTTATTGTTGTTGCTGTCATCGTTGCCACCATTGCCGTCGTTTTTCTTGCCTACGTCATCACTGTCATCATTACTCATCTTTTTTCTCCTGTTCTTTACTACACTTATATCGAAGCTTTGGTGGTTTTCATTTTTCCCGTCTTTGGCTTCGTTGTTATCGCTGCTTATCTTAACAATGTTGGCATTAGAACCGGTTGCACTATCATCGGTGCCCACACTGATGCCCGTACTGTCACTATCTTTAGGAATCTGTCTAAAACCGCTTGATAGATCATTGATTTCTTTCCTCAAGTCGGCGAGCGCAGAAACTATTTTAGTAGCAGCAGCATCGCTTGGCACGTTCATGGCCGAAGATGAAGTCAGATTCACTTTGTTGACCGGGTGCGGGTTAAACGAATCAAGATTCCTTGAAAATGAAAGGACTTGGTCTTTCTGTTCGCCTTCATCGTCGCCCTCCTCACCATTGCTGTCGCTATTTTCACGGTCAGGCTCATCACTAACGTTGAAGCTTTCGTTTTGAGTACTTGACGCTGTTGTGTCGTTATTGAGCTGCCGTCTGAATGCATCGAGTGCTCGAGTCAATGCGTTGGTACTGATCTTAACACAATCCCTCTTAACTAACGTTCGTTTTATAAGATTATTCACTTCTCTTCTGACTTCTTCAAACGGTAGAAAATGAACTGCACCGCTCGAATCTTTGTGCTGGAATACGTCCACTGATCCGTCATGACGCTTAGGGAAAAAACGCTCCAGCGCGGTTTGTATACGCTTCAGTAACGGAACGTCGCCAGGTAGCAAAAGTGAATGGTGCATGGTGGAGTGGAAGTGTCCTAATCTGTGCAGCATATGCATGCCTGGGCGCATGCCTATACGATGGCTTCGGCCACTGCCGCAGTTTTTATAAAACTCTACCAGCCTGTCCAGAACAGTCTTTCCCTTGGTCGAGAGGGACACGTTTTTCAACTCCAAAAGTAGCCCGTGGCCACGACCAACTCTGAAATGCTGAAAGTTCATGTTAAGCTTGTGCGCTGTACGAGGGTTGATGCGGATTTCAAACGTGTGAGTCTTATCGCCTGGTAGGCGGACTGGGGTCCAGCGCTGAGTACCCTGTCCTGGTAGGCCTGGGGGTAAGTCTTTCGTGGTGAGGTTTTTACGCAGTGCTTTCATAACGTCTGCTGGAACGAATAACATTTTGATATTCTTGCGCTCGTTTTCTTGCCCAGCCACGGCTAAGAAATAAAGAAACGTCGTTACTGACATGGAATGGATGAAGTATAGCTTCTAATGGGAAATTTCAGAATTAAATTGGCTAGCTCCTTATTCAGTATGCCGAAGTCAGTGAAGCTAAGACCACTTTTTACTGGGTTTTATTGATTCAATCCAAAGTCTCCCTGTTACAATGGCTACCAGAAANCGCCCACGCTGAAATTCCTTCAATACCTCACGCAATTTTTCCTTGCGTGACAAGCTTGTCGTGACTGAAAACGGACAATGAGGAAAGACTTTTCATCAAAGCTCTAAATTATAAACATGACTTGCAAAGGTTCCTTTCAGCTAGGGGTGTCATCGCCCATAATGTTGGGGATTCTAAAAGGGAGCTTATTATCAGGAAGGGGCCTTTAAAAAGGGCTTTTACAGTACCCCTTTGTAGTGCATAGTCTGGTCAAGCCCGGGTTAAAACTCAAGAACATTTAACCATACTAGGATACATGGACAAGAACTATACTTGCCTTTTTAATTATTATTTATTGAAGAAGTGAAGAAATTCTTTACATGATTTACCTCAGTTAAAGAATAACTATGTATTACACCTAACCATAGCTAGAGATTCCCGATTTATTAACGTGAAACTATTGAACGTTTCGAAATATTATGTTTATCGTGTTATTTTCCTCTGTTTGCCAATTTCGTGCCAAATCATTGCAATGCTGATACATAACTAACTGACAATAAGCTTGGATAAATTATATGTAACAAAGAATTTGAAAGTATTGGATTTGCAATCCAGAAAACAATGTATATAACTTCAGTGAATGACTACTTTTTGTGCAATTACTTTCTCTCTATATCTGCTGATATTCCTTATATTTAGTACATGCCACCTCGAGGGTATCTGGCCCTATACCCACTTAGGGTTATGGTCAAAATCACCTCGAGGGTATTTAATATTCAACTCTCTTAATGACTTGGACCGTCTTAGTGTCTGTGCAAGAATGTCCCTGACTACCACAATTTTGAGTTTGTCAAATAGCGACCGACCTTAGCTTATTACTGACCGGCGTGTTCGATTCTTGATACAAGATACAACTCAGATCTATGAATACAGTTAACCCTTAGCTTAAAGCTTAGATTAGCGGAAAAAGTACCTTATTGCCCAAACAGTTTACGAATATTTATTTTGTTGCATATCTACTTTATCCGAATTAGGTTGATAATGCGCAATTCCAATCATTTGTCCCATACAAGACCATACAATGGAAAAATAGAAAGAGAAAATATCATCATGTGGAATTCCCAAGTCTTAAACCAGCGACTGCATAAAACCCTGTATAGTATCTAAGTAAATCCAGACACTGAAAATAAACTGATAAATTTATCTTTTTACCTGAAGATCGATATCTATGAACGTAAAGATTATTGAAATAAATATTGGACAGATAGGGTTGCTCTTTTTAATTTAAGCGATTTTACACACATTTTACCTCTCCAGCTAAATACACAGAAAATTTTTGGTTAGTTACAGATTGTCTTTTTAATCGCTGTCACAAAATAAAACCAAAAGTAATGACCTTGCATGGCGCATTGAACCAGTCAGAATAATCCAAGAAAAAATAATATGTCAGTGGTGCCAAGGGTAAGAAAACAAGTGTAACGCCAGGTCATAACTTTTGCTTTTGTTCCTGTTAAACAAAATCTCCGGGGAAAAGAAAGCAATCCTGCTTTGATTGGTCAGATACCTTTTTTTATTATTTATAACTAATTAGACAGCTCAAATAAAGAAACATCTCTTTAATTATTTGCCTAACACGAAAGCCTAACATCCGATGACCACAGGGAAATTCACGAAGCTTGTTCGCCATATCAACATTTATGACATGTCAGTTTTCTCCCGCGCACAGCCCAAACCCCGCCCCAAACCCCGGATGAGGAACACTAGCTTCGTACATGAGGTTTGAGCTGTTTTTGGCTGGTCGACGTTGCAGTCTTTCTTATTTGAGAAAACAGGACTGGTATATGACTCAACAATCATTAAACTGTGCTTGATCTGGATCTTTGGCGAGATTTATTTTTGAGTTTAACACGTTTATGCCCTACACCCAAGACACGGACATGCTGCGCGCGTTTCTTTGATCGAGACTTCTTTGGCGCCTTTTTTTCACCGCGAGAAATTACTGCTCGCATCTGCCCCGGTTGCATAACGGGAGTCATGGGAGAAACTTCAGGCCCTCCTGCTTGCATTTGCATGGGCATCATACTGCTGACCTGCGGGAACGGCGTCTGCGGCATCATACTGTTCACTTGTGTAGTCACACTGGGCTGATAATTGAACGCGGCAACATTGGGTCTCGCAGCCTGGACACCACCGTTCACTTGAGGCAGCTCTGCCGCCGCGGGAACCATCGTCGACTGCTCGGGCGGCATGACCATATTTGGTGACATATCCATGGCGTTCTGACTGGGTGGAGGAGAGCTTGACGCCATGGCAACCGGTTGAGGGGCCATGGACGTCATTTGGGAAGGTGCCAATGAAGACATCTCGGTGGCTGGCATGGATGAGATTTCCGGAGAAGCCATTGATGACATATCGGAATCGTGCGACAACACTTGTTGCAGTCCAAGTGAATCATGTGGTGGTTCTTTTAACAGGCTAGTATCCACTCCGTAAGAATCCTCTTGGATTTTAAAAGGTATTTTGTGAATGTGTATTTTTCCAGGTTGTTCTCCATCGTTGTCCTCTACTTTGTTTGTTTTCTCGTTCAGAGTTGCGTCGTCCTCCTTTGACGTCTTGCGTTTTTCCATTGAGTCGCCCAGCTTCCGCGCGTCGATTCCATCTTGATCATTGTACATTTTGATTTCTTCGTTTTCTTCATCTTCTTCATTTTCTAAATGAAAACAAAGTAAATCAACTATATTTTGTCCCAAGGTTGTCCAAAACGACGGCTGCCTGACAACAGACAAGCTGGTGTGTTAGTTTTTGAAAGCGCACCGTTCACGAAAACCGCAAAATGAATCCATTGTAACAATCATTTGATCTGCGAGAATTTAAGTTTCAAACGAGTCTATAAACTTCTCCCTTAGTTTGCTTTAGAAAATCGATATAACACCGTAAAGAGGTTCGTATAAATTTACCATGGTAGCTCGTATTTAACATTGTTGTCATCAATCATAGCAAGCAGCAAAATCTTCGCTTTACACGAACATTCAGAGAATGCCTCATTCGCGTAGTGTCGGAGAACGCCAGAACTTCACGTATGCAAAAGACCATTTCCGAGTTACTATGTGCCTCTGTTTCAAAACGAGTCTTCGTGCAAAACCTTTCAAAGGTAAATGAGTTTGATTTGCATGAAAATGAACCTGTAGGCGGAACACATTTTCATATGAATGGTTTCGCATGAAGACTCGTTTTAACACAGAGGCACAAGGTGACTTGGTAATGGCCTATTATTCATTCAATTTTGATAACTTACCGTAGTGTTTCTTTAAATAAGGTTCTAAGTCGGGCACATCAGTACCACTATCGCCTCGTCCAAAATGGGTGCTGTCATCCCCGATACTATCTGACAGATATTGCATATCCGAGTCAGAGTCACTATCCGAGCTTGAATTACTCGTCCCGCCTTGATTGTACTGCTGAGTGTTCTCGTCGTCCATAAAAACGGGATCCGAGCGATGCGACGAAGGTTCCGGTTCGGGCTCCGAGTCCGATTCCGATTCCGCCTCTGATTCGGAATCAGCTTCGTTGTCATCTTCGTGAATTTTCTCGACTTTCTCCGTCAACTCATCGGACTCGCTGTTGCGCCAGTTGTCTCGATGCGGTTGTTTTTCCTCTTCATCGTCGTCATATACAACCACACGAAGTTTCGGACTCTTGCGCCTGCGTATTTTGGCCCCATGACCGTGGATTCGGAGCCAACGTAACTTCCTTAGCAACCGCACTTTCATACTGTCATCGTCCTCGCTAGCTTCTACTGGAGAGTCGTCAAATTTTCTTTCCCTGTAGCCTTCAGAGTCTTCCTCTTCGTCTGGTAGTAGCACTTCCTTGATTTTTGGATGCCGTATTCGCATGTGAATAAATCGAATTAGTCTTCCTTTACCTCTGTGTTTCAGATAGCCTTCCTCGTCATCTTCGTCGTCAGCCTTTACGTGTCTTCCACCTTTGTACTTAAACTTTAATCTTAGTGATTTTGGTTTGTAGTCAAACACAACTGAGGGACGTTTCTTATTTTTCTTGTCCTTAAGACGTGGTACATGTTTAGTTTTATTTCGCGCCCTTTCTTTTCTGCCTTTGAATCGAGCTTGTTTGTTTCCCTTTTTCGTTCCCCTTGAATGGTTCACGTGCTCGAATAAGTTCTTGTTGACTTTCATTTCTTTTACAGCTTTGACTCGCTGTACATGATCGACAACTTGATTGAAAACTGGATGGACAGGCTTCACATCGGTAATCTTTACATTGCTGTTGTCTTCGAGATTTCCACCTGAAAGGCTGTTTGGCTCGGAATCGCTAGTAATTTTCGAAAAGTTTTTTGTTTGCTTCAAAAAATCATTCACAAGTTGGGTTTTCAAATCCTCTTCAATGTTCTTCAGTTTCAAGGCTAGCATCATCCCCTTGTTATTGCTGATGTCACTATTGCTGCTGTTGTTTTTGTTATTGCTATTGTTGTTGCTTTTGTTGTTGTTGTCATTGTTGCTACTATTGCTCTTGTTGTTGTTTTTGTTATTGTTGTTGCTGTCATCGTTGCCACCATTGCCGTCGTTTTTCTTGCCTACGTCATCACTGTCATCATTACTCATCTTTTTTCTCCTGTTCTTTACTACACTTATATCGAAGCTTTGGTGGTTTTCATTTTTCCCGTCTTTGGCTTCGTTGTTATCGCTGCTTATCTTAACAATGTTGGCATTAGAACCGGTTGCACTATCATCGGTGCCCACACTGATGCCCGTACTGTCACTATCTTTAGGAATCTGTCTAAAACCGCTTGATAGATCATTGATTTCTTTCCTCAAGTCGGCGAGCGCAGAAACTATTTTAGTAGCAGCAGCATCGCTTGGCACGTTCATGGCCGAAGATGAAGTCAGATTCACTTTGTTGACCGGGTGCGGGTTAAACGAATCAAGATTCCTTGAAAATGAAAGGACTTGGTCTTTCTGTTCGCCTTCATCGTCGCCCTCCTCACCATTGCTGTCGCTATTTTCACGGTCAGGCTCATCACTAACGTTGAAGCTTTCGTTTTGAGTACTTGACGCTGTTGTGTCGTTATTGAGCTGCCGTCTGAATGCATCGAGTGCTCGAGTCAATGCGTTGGTACTGATCTTAACACAATCCCTCTTAACTAACGTTCGTTTTATAAGATTATTCACTTCTCTTCTGACTTCTTCAAACGGTAGAAAATGAACTGCACCGCTCGAATCTTTGTGCTGGAATACGTCCACTGATCCGTCATGACGCTTAGGGAAAAAACGCTCCAGCGCGGTTTGTATACGCTTCAGTAACGGAACGTCGCCAGGTAGCAAAAGTGAATGGTGCATGGTGGAGTGGAAGTGTCCTAATCTGTGCAGCATATGCATGCCTGGGCGCATGCCTATACGATGGCTTCGGCCACTGCCGCAGTTTTTATAAAACTCTACCAGCCTGTCCAGAACAGTCTTTCCCTTGGTCGAGAGGGACACGTTTTTCAACTCCAAAAGTAGCCCGTGGCCACGACCAACTCTGAAATGCTGAAAGTTCATGTTAAGCTTGTGCGCTGTACGAGGGTTGATGCGGATTTCAAACGTGTGAGTCTTATCGCCTGGTAGGCGGACTGGGGTCCAGCGCTGAGTACCCTGTCCTGGTAGGCCTGGGGGTAAGTCTTTCGTGGTGAGGTTTTTACGCAGTGCTTTCATAACGTCTGCTGGAACGAATAACATTTTGATATTCTTGCGCTCGTTTTCTTGCCCAGCCACGGCTAAGAAATAAAGAAACGTCATTACTGACATAAAATGAATGAAGTATAGCTTCTAACGGGAAATTTCAGAATTAAATTGGCTTGCTCCTTATTCAATATGCCGAAGTCAGTGAAGCTAAGACCACTTTTTATTGAGTTTTATTGATTCTATCCAAAGTCTCCTTGTTACAATGGCTACCAGAAAAAAAAACAACATAGCAACAGCAATTCATGACCCAGCAGATGTAAACACAACTGCTTGTATAAACACGAGTAGAACAACAAAAGCAGATCTTTCTTTTTTTTCTCGCGCTTGAGTCGCTGGGCCACCTGTGTAAACAGGAATAACGCAAATTCAAGGGGTCCTTTATCAAGGCTGGTTTAGGTTACCTGGTTTAGGTTACCTTATGATTAAGTTTATCGCGCGTGTGAACATTACCCTTGTGTCTGCATTGTAAGTGCAAACTTTGTCAATAAACAAAAAAGCTCAGACATAGAAAAACAAATGTTAAAAAAAGATACTTACCGAGACAGAACGACGCAAGAATCATCACTAATATTTTGAGCGCCATGTTGTCATGAATCAAATCTCTTTTTCTTTCACTGCAAATAAAAAATTAATGCTTAGAGATACCCATGTACGATGTGAACGATGTTAAAATACGATGGCCTGAT